CCAGGTGTATACTTCAACAAGATATGAATTTATTTTGACACGTATCTTCAAATATACTTGTTTTTTTCAGTTAGCTCTCTCTATATAGGCTTGGTCATTTTTACAATTCTTGCAACACCACATAACCAAGAAACTATACATACTATAAACTTTACTGTAATAAGTGCATCTTCATGAAATTTGGCATGTTTTAGTAAACATTACAAGTCTTTTGTACACAAAAAATCATTTTTAATTAAGTATTTTTATCAATTTGTCTATGAATAGATGGGGTCAGTGTTTACTATTCGAGTGTAAAGTAATTTTCATATGAAGATTAAAAATACATTTTCCTATTCAAATTTCATTTCCATAACTTCTAAAGCATCCTCAATGAATGTCAGAAGTTTATTTTTTTCAGTAAAACTTCATATTTTATCTGTTATTTTCTCTATCCTTACACTATATACACTGTAAAAAATACAAAGTAAACCTAAATAACCCTTTTTTTCACTAGAATAACTGTTTATCATTACAGACAATTATACATTATTTATTCAAAATCTAATATAATTCAAATCATCTGGTCATTTAGATATATTGCATTATTACCACTTAGAATAGTGCCAAAGAGAATTATTATGGTTGAGAAGCTTTGTGTAAACACAGAATCAAGTTATCAACATGCTTGGTCAAGTTACAATATGCTGAGCTCACAAGACATGCTCATACTGTTGATTATTATTTTATTTTATTTTTATTATGTAACCTAATCAGTTAGTAATTTCCATAAATCAGTTATTTTTATAACAAATAAAAAATATACAAAAAAAGGAATTTAGTACTTACATGCAAGTCTTGTATTTTTTTGCTCTTAAAGTTTTGAAGTCTTGATTGAAGTTAATTTTATTTTTCTTGGGGGTGTTGTTAGTAATTTACTTAATTTTTATTTTAAATATGTAAGTTAGATCACCAAATATTAATACATAATAAATAAACAATGTCCTTAAACTATTATAATTTAACTGTTTTTATTTTCTACCTAAGCTATATGCATGCTATCGTTTTTCCTTATCTGGTTGAAGCAACCTCGATGATTGTAAACTATGAAATTGATTCATAAGAACTCAAAACCAATCATGAGAATAAGCTAGCCTCATAAGGAAGGAAGTAAACTGAAATTTTCTCCTTCTATTAGTTATAAATAATCAAATAATAAATGTCAAAGAATTAATCATATTTTTTAAAGATAGCATGTGCTAGGAAGGGCTTGACATGCGAGTTTCAGTTTATAGCACAAAACTCATCAAAGCAGATCAGATGCTATAAATTTTCATTTTAATATATAAATGTGCAAGTTTTCAGAAACATAGAAAATAATATGATGTGGAAAAAATTCTAAAGTGGATAATTCAAAGCAGAGAATTTTCATGATACAAAAACAAACGAGACTCTATTTAAGTATTTCCTTTTGAAATTAAAACTTATATCATATTAAAATTAGAAACTTTGTTTTGACACTAAGTTTACTGAAATACATGGATAATAAATTAGTTTCATTGAATTTTGAATGTAATTCTGTAAAGATATTGTGCAACATACATGTTGAACCTACACCCTATCTAGAGGGTTAAGACTTATCTACCTTGTTCTAGAGCTAACAAACTCTTGCTGACAACATGGAAATGTAAACTGTTATACAACATTTGATGTTCTCAAAAGTAGTATTCTATTCTTAAACCTGACAAACATTATATTATCTAGATTCAAGTTTTATTAAACATCATAACTGAATGTACTGGTAAGTTTTACAGATCAACTTACATAAATGAATTATTCATTGAAATGTGACACCTATTAATTAATGCAAGGTTAGATTACACGAACAAGAAAACTTTGGAGTATTCAAACTGCTTAAATAAGTTTCAGGTTTCATCCTCA